CAAGGACTGTCCTGCATTTCCTCAGGACAAAGGAAATCCGCACAGTACAAATGCCCTGGATGTTGATCCTTTTTGAGTCTGGGTCTTACCTGTGAAGAGCCTGTCACTATGAGATGCGGAGGGAGCTGCCACTTTCTTTGGGTGCTGAGGCCTGCTGCTTTCTTTGCAGGTGTCTCCTTCATGCATGGCCCATGGTTAGTCAGTGCTGTAGAAGGCAGTTCTTTCTCCCAGCCACGTGGGTAACCAGGCCTCATGGGACACTTGGATAAGGTGCTCTTTTAGCACAGCAGCCAGTCTGGGTGACGGGTGCAGGTTCTCTGCAGACTGAGCAAGCCGGAACCATCATCCGAGCCCCGATGATATCGTTATCACTGAGAGTAGCGTCTGCCACGCATGCCTTCTACCTGCTGGTGATCTGCTCTTTCCTTGTGGGGAGCGGACTGCATTGCCAGTGCTGTGGAAAAGCTGTGTCTGTGCTTTCTGGGGTATTTCATAGCACTACTTCTAGCTCTATCACCTTCTTCCTAGGGATCTCGAAGCACTTTGCCAAGATATTTGTCACAGGGAGATGGAGGCACAGGGAGGGGTCATGGCTCGGTACAGCAAGCCAGTAGGCAGAGCTGGGGATATCCTCTCTATGAAGGGCTGGGATTTCTCCTGACCTGCTGTGATGGGGATGGGGTGGACAGCAGGGGAGCATAAAATGATGTGGGAGTGACTTGATTTTGGAGTTCTAGTGTCTTCTGAGCTACTAGGACTAGAGATTTTGGAATGACTAACTGTTCCTGGAGTGACCCAGGACCAGTTTCTGGAGAGCCTATCCCTGCCCTCTGGCCTGTGGCTGCTGCCACCTCCAGTCCCAACAGTGGGACCTGTTAGCCCAGGAGCTCTCTAACTAAGAGTCATTGCTTTCTCTTACAGGTCAGACTTCTGAGCCAAAACCACCTGCCTCTTCCCCACAGAAAGCAGAGACTAACATGGTAAGGCCTGTTTGAGGTAGGAGTTCTCGGATGGTATAACGGGACATCCCCAGGAAAGGACGTGTTTGCTGTTCGTTCTCTTACAACATATATATTTCAAGATGGTGGTGGCCTGGGCAGTAGGAGCTGAGAGGGGCTGCTAGGGAGGGCAGCATAAGCATACCTCCTGCCAAAGGAGAGAATAACCCGTTCCCCAGGAATCACACATGGGCACCAGAGCAGTTTGCTACTGCGGGGCTGACTCCTTGCACGGTGCTCCCCTGTGCCTGAGCGCGGTCACTGTCCCTCTGCATTCCCATCTGTGCCGTGGGATGGGAGCGACTGGTACCAGACTCTCTACTGGCTGTTGCAGGGCTGCCACAAGGTGTGCTGGTTGTCAGGATCAGCTTAGCAATCCTTTGGCCAGATCTGACTGTGGGAACATGTGGGCCTGGGAGGGCTGAGCAAGTCTCAGACCAGAGCCTGTGCATTGGGGGCTGCCAAGCTCCGGGAAGTGCTTTGGCCTGAGGTCTGGGAGTGTCTCTAGCTGCACCCGCAGTTGGGAAGGTGGTGCTGCCTCTCACGGACACCAACCTATTGCTTTCTGGATTTCCTCAGTTGTCAGCAAAGACTTCCTCAGCCCAGATGTCTCCAGCTGCGCCACCTCCCCCGCCCCCTCCAGTTCCAGCCACCCCTCGGAAGAACAAAGCTGCTATGTGTAAACCACTGATGCAGAACCGGGGCGTTTCCTGCAAAATAGAAATGAAGTCCAAAGGATGTCAGACAGGTAAGGAGATAAGACACGTCTCTGCTGGATCACAGGGTGTTTTCTGTTGGAGGGGTGAGCAGCATTTCTGTGCTTCAAACTGAGTGTGAATCCAGCTTGAAATGCTGTACAGCGCCCCGGGTGTTTGGCACCATGCTGAGGAGCGTCCGGGCAGCGCAGTGCACACGCTGCAGGGCTAGCTGTAGGGAGCCCGTTCTTGTCCATGGCAAAAGGAGAACTGCAGAGAGCACTGCAGCATTATCCTGCTTCCAGGCCACCTTTCTCCTCCTCTTGCATGCGGGACAGCACCTCTTTCTCTGGAGATCATGAGCTTGCCTGAGGGGCCATCTGCTGAGCAAGTTCCGCTGTGTAGCTGCTCTCAGGCATGCGCGTGGCCTGCAGCCTGTGCAAGGGAGCTAGGCCTCTTGAAGGGGCAGGGCTTGCTCCTCTGGCTAACGGCAAGCCTCCCCTGTTGCTGGGGTGTGTTCAGCTTGCTGCTGCTGCAGCTCTTGGTAGCTGGTCGCTGAAAGGGCTGTGGCACTGGACAGCTGTGTGGACATGGCAGTGCGCAGCTGGACTGGGTGGAGGAGCTGTTGGGAGCAAGCTCACTGACATACTTTTGCTCTTGTCAGAGGCTGACTGGAAGCCCCAGGTGATTGTGTTGCCAATCCCCGTCCCGATCTTCGTGCCTGTGCCTATGCATATGTACTGCCAGAAAGTACCTGTGCCTTTCTCCATGCCTGTCCCGGTAAGCGACACACTCCACCTGCTCCTATTCTCTTTTACTGTCTTGACCCTGCCATGCCACAGCCTCTCCTTGCTTCTCTGTCCGTCCTCTTCCCAGTCTCTGCTTTTGTGGCAGTCAGCTGCACCAAAACTCCTTGTGGGCACAGCCTATGTCTGATCTCTGCCTGCTGTCCTGCTGTCAACAGGTGCCTGTGCCAATGTTCTTGCCCACCACACTGGAGAGCACAGATAAAATCGTGGAGACCATTGAGGAGCTGAAGGTGAAGATCCCCTCCAACCCACTGGAGGCTGACATCCTGGCCATGGCTGAGATGATTGCAGAGGCTGAAGAACTGGACAAGGCCTCCTCAGACCTGTGCGGTAGGTTCTGCCATGATTTGGTCTGGCCCAGCAACAGGAGTGATGGAGGGGTTTGCCTGCACCTGGAGCCAGACCATCTCTCCTTATTGCCACTCCTCTAAAAGCCTCAGAAAGGCAGCAGCAGCAAAGAGCGAATGCTAGGCTGCTGCTGAGGAGGCACCAGGAGGCAAGTGCCACAGCAGGGAGCGGTGTCTGCCACTGTCCCTTTCAGAGGTGCCAGTGCTGGGGCATGCACGCACAATTAGTTTATTCACATGGCTTTTCAGGCTCTTACTTGAAATGGAGCTTCCCAGCAAGAAGACTGGGAATCTTGACTTCACATATCTTCTTAGTTGGGGGCTGCTTTCCCCAAGCCTCAGTAGGCTGTGGCTGGGGAGAGGACAAAGGTCCAATGTCTCACTGTCCGCGGAAAGCTGGGCAGGGCAGCCGTTGTGGGACTGCTGTGTGAGGTTGCTCTGAGCACAGGACTGTGCCCCAGGGAGCCTGACTTCATTTTCTATCTGTCACAGGGAAAACAGCCAGAAGGATTTCTTTAAAGTTGGGTTTCTTGCTCTGCTTTTGCATTGCAGACCTGGTGAGTAACCAGAGTGCAGAGGGACTCCTGGAGGACTGTGATCTGTTTGGGCCAGCACGGGATGATGTGTTGGCTATGGCCGTCAAGATGGCAAACGTCCTCGATGAGCCTGGCCAGGACCTGGAGGCTGACTTCCCTAAGAGTAAGAGCTTGGTGAACTAGGCATGCAGGGCTGCTTGTGCTGCAGTGGGGTCTTCCTGCGGCCCTCGGCCTTCCTTTGCCCGCAGCATTAAGAGCTGCATGCTGTGAACTCCCTCCCCCTGCCCTCTGACTGTCCAGGTTTGAGGCCACGAACTGAGAATCTTGCAGGTGATTGCTCACAGCAGTGGGTAGGAGATCACGGCTTTTGAACAAGTCTGTTTTCCTAGACTTACTGACCTGCTGTGGACACACTTCTGCAGAGAAAAGGGATAGAAAGCTGACTTCAACAGCATAAAGAGCAGGGCAGAGGTGCTGGCGTGCTTCTGAGTGATACCAGGGGATCCAGCAAAGCCTGAGAGAGATGTGGGTAGGGCAGGACATCGGGGAGATGGCAGGGTTGCTGTGCATGCCCTTCAGAGGGCAGAAAGTGGAAAGGAAGGGCAGGGACAAGCAGGAGCACAGCAGCACTGAGGCAGGATGCTAGCAGCAAAGGACAGAGAATTGGGGTGCTTGTGCTAGGCTGTCCCCAGTGCTGGCAAACTGTCAGAAGGGGGAATTTTGGGCTCTGATTAGTCTGAGAAAGCTTAGCAGCTCTGGCAGGTGATGCTGTTTCTTTTGTTGGGCCGTGGCTAAAAGTTCCTGCCAGGCAGGGGCAGAGGGTGTGAAGTGCTGGGCTGCAGATTCCCACTTTGTCCTGCTGTAAGAAGCAACTGAGAGAGGTCGGGGACAGAGCTGTAACCTGGCTTAGACTCCTGCCCACCTCTTACATCTGCTGGGAACAGAATGAGATGGCTCAACTGAGCCCTTTTGCTTGTGTTTCTTGTCAGACCCACTAGACATCAACCCCAGTGTGGATTTCCTTTTCGACTGTGGGCTGGTAGGGCCAGAAGATGTGTCCACAGAGCAAGACCTGCCTCGTGCTGTCCGAAAGGTGAGCTCTTAGTGGTTACAGTCTGCTCAGAGCTCAGTGGGTTTGGAGTTGGAGCTGGCATCTGGGAAATACTCTAAGGTGAAGCGTGCTGGAGGCTTCGGTGTGCTGGGGAGGTTGTGCCCTCTCCCTTCTGGTCATGTCCGGACCATGGGCTGCTCCTTGAAAGGAAATGATACTTGCCTGTCACTTTGGAGGGGCCACGAACGCCACAGGCGATGGTGAAACTTGGGCTCTTCAGCTATGGTCCCCATAACTAATGGGCCTTGTTGGCTGAACTGTCAGCAGAAGGCTGCTCTGGTGGACAGAGACACGCTGAGAGGGAGCTAGCTGGCTGTCAGCAGGTTAAAGGGGTGGCCAGGACTCTTGCATCTGTCCCGGCTACATGCCCATCCTCACAGTACACTTCTCTGCAGGGGCAGAAGCGCCTGGTGCTCACTGAAAGCTGTTCTCGAGACTCAATGAGCAGCCAGCCCAGCTGCACAGCGTTGAACTACTCGTACGGTGTGAACGCCTGGAAGTCCTGGGTGCAAGCCAAGTACGCAGGGGGAGAGACGAGCAAGGGAGAGGAGCTGCGCTTTGGTCGTAAGTGCCCTGTCTGTACGCGGTGGAGTGGCAGCAGCCTCCTCGCAGCCAGGGCCCGGAGTTTTGAGGTGCTCCTGGCCTTGCAGGCTGTTGCCTGAGGCTGCCTTGCTTGCCTCTGCAGCCAAGCCCATGAGGATCAAGGAAGACATCTTGGCCTGCACAGCTGCTGAGCTCAACTATGGCCTGGCCCAGTTTGTCAAGGAAATAACACGGCCCAATGGGGAGCGATACGAACCAGACAGCATCTATTACCTCTGCCTCGGCATCCAGCAGGTGAGGGAGGGCTTGCTGCCCTCAAGTCCTCCGCAGCCAAACTTGGGGGTCAGATATGGCGAGGGGAGCGAATACTCTTTCTTCTGCCTTCTGGGGACCCAGAGAGGTTCATTAGCCTCTGATCTTCAGTGCCTCACCCCAAGATAGGAACCCATCTGGTTCGATCTCTGTTCCCAACCCTAGCAGCTGCCCTAGGTAGCAGCTATTCCCTGGCCTTGCACCTTTCATGTACATCCTTGAGGAGGGCCGGGAGACCTCCCCAAAGTCAGTCCCTTCTTCCAAGTCTGCTTTGTTGGGCTTTGAGTCTGCCCCTGCAGTGCTGACTGTGCAAGGAGTGCGCTGTGTGCACCCTGGGCTCTCTGGGGAGGGTTTGCACCCCAGGTGCTGCCATGTCTCTCTTGACTGTGTGTTCTGTCCTTTCTAGTACCTGCTCGAGAACAATCGTATGGTGAATATATTTACAGACCTTTACTACCTGACCTTCGTGCAGGAGCTGAACAAGTCCCTGAGTGGCTGGCAACCCACAATCTTACCAAACAGTATGTGTCTCCAGCTTACCTTGAGTCACCAAACATGCACGCGGTTTCTGCTCCTGGCCTCGGATCCTGCGGTCTGATTGTGCTCCCTCGGCCTCTGCTCTCTTCCTTGGCACAGAGAGCGCTGTCCCGCTGTGCGTTGGGGACATAATGAACTATTTCTTACCCACCCCAGCAGCAGAGCCGACCTGGTTTACACCTCAGCAGCTTTTCTTGCCCAGAGTCAGGGTGGCTGGGAACAGAGCATGGTTGCTTTGTGCCCTGGTACAGCTTGCATCTTTACAACAGTTCATTTCGCAGCAATGTCTCGGCCATTTGGCAAAGAGGACACCAAGGCAGGAGGCCTGATGGCCCATGCCTGCTTTGCATTCCCACTCCACGAGTGAGCCCTGCACACTAGTGTTGGTCCAGGCTGCTGTGCTGCTACCTGTCTGCCTTGTGAGCAAGTTACTTAGAGCTCTGCAGAGGCTGTTTGGGATGCTGTGATCTGGGATGCTGTGATCTGGGATGCTGTGATCTGGGCTCCCTATCCCAGAGTGTCCTGTCTGTGGTTAGTCCAGCCTCTTTTCTGCATGCTGGCTGTTCCAAGCAGATGCCTTTGGCTTCAAACCTGTATGTCTAGGCAGGAGCTGGCCTGCTGCTCGCTCTTTATCTCCCACTGAATGTGGTGGAGCACTGACGAGTTCACTCTGTGGCCATCTGTATGGATTGATCTGGGTTCTGGCCCGTGGTTTGGCCACACTCTGGGATGGTTTGTGGCTGGGCAGACCCAACATCTAGCTCTCTGACAGCTCTGGAGAAGTAGCCTCCTGGAACTGTTCTTGGCTCCACAGCACTGCCCTGTGCACACAAAGTGAGTGTTGCGAAGTACAACTCTCTTGCGCTGCTGAGCTGAGTTTGTCTGCCTGGGGTGAAGGGAATGCTCCAGGCCCATATTCCCCAGATGTGTGGAGCTGGATCCCAGGCAGGCACGTCATTCTTCTAGTTCCCTCCTGAACGAGCCTAGAGCCTGCACAAGGCCACTGTGGGTGTGACCTGATTCTTCGTCTGTGTGTTGCAGATGCAGTTTTCTCACGTGTTGAGGAGGAACACCTCTGGGAGTGCAAGCAGCTGGGTGTTTACTCGCCCTTTGTGCTCCTCAACACCCTCATGTTCTTCAACACCAAGTTCTTTGGGCTGCAGACAGCGGAGGAACACATGCAGCTGTCTTTCACCAATGTGGTGCGCCAGTCCCGCAAGTGCAACACAGCCCGTGGCATGGCGAAGGTGGTGAGCATCCGCTACTATGCTCCTGCCAAGCAGAAGAAAGGCCGAGGTAGGGTTTGCCTGAGCACCTGTCTCTCCCTCCCCCTACCTCCGCCCATCAGCTCCCAATTGTGATCCTGCTCTGTCCCCCTCTGCAGAGGGCACTTCTGGAAAGCGGAAGCGCGAGGAGGAGATGCCAATCCTGGAGCAGCGGGAGAACAGGATGAACCCTCTCCGATGTCCAGTCAAGTTCTATGAATTTTATCTCTCCAAATGGTGAGGCTTTCTTGGGAGACGGGACGTGCGTCCTTTCCGGGGCCACCTTTCAGCTCCAGTGGGAGCCTGTGGAGTGGCTGCTGCTCTCCACACATGCAGTTAGTTCTTTGAGTGTAAAGCCTTGCCCAGGCTCTGCAATGCTTACTGCCCATGGTTGAGGAAACACCTCTCTGGCTCCTTCCACTCCTTGCCTTCTCGTGCGGCACACAGAGGCATCGAATGTGCGTCTTGGTGCTTGGCTGGCTAAGGAGTTTGGTCCTGAGTGAGGTGCTCCAGGCCTTGTCCTGCTCGAGGCTGAGACTGACACCTGAAGCAAGTCTGAGCCCTCCTTGATAACCGGCAGGGGCATGCTAGGCTTTCTAAGCCCCCGGTGGGGTGGGAGGCACCAAGGCCCATGCTGCTGTCACAGGGCTCACCTTCCTCTCTCCTCGCAGCCCCGAGAGTCTGCGGAACCGGAACGACATCTTCTACCTGCAGCCCGAGCGGTCGTGCATTGCCGAGTCGCCCCTCTGGTATTCGGTCATCCCCATGGACAGGAGCATGCTGGAGAGCATGCTGAATCGCATCCTGGCCGTGAGGGAGATCTACGAGGAG